TGAGTTTCTTTGAAGAAATGAAAACTAAGGGAACTGGAGCAATAATCAAAATCAGAACGAAAGTAAACTTTCCTGAAATGAAAACAATACTTCAGAATATGGATCTAAAGAACTTACTGTGTTCCAGACAAAATTAATGAAAACAGACCCAAACAAGACATAAGTTAGCAAACTCCATTACAACGGCCGTTTATTGTCGTTGTTGTTGCTAGTGTTATTAGTCTGAGCTCCAAGGCAGGACAAGAGAATAATTAAAAAGGTTTTGTGAAAGAACAAAGCTAGACTGGCCTCTGACATATCTACAAAAAAGGAAGTCAGACAAAAGGGAGCAACATCCCCAAAATTTTGAGAGAAAATATTTCAACCCAGAACTCTATACTAAATTAATTCTAGTTTATGTATGAAGGAAATATCTGTAACAGATAGTAAATCTTATATGCACTTATCAGAAAGTTACCTAAAAATGTATGTCAGTAAACTGAAACTACACACACACACACACACACACACACACACACACACACACGATATATCTCAAAATTTAGAACTTAATCACAGAGAAGCCATGGAATAAAGACAGAAATGAGCACCAGCTGAATTAAAAGAGAACATTTTAAACAATGGTTAGAATTATGGCTTTAAAACTGAATACAATTATTGAAGATTATCTTTGAAATAGGACATAAGTAATTATCTACTACTAGAGGTCCAGTGCATGAAATTCATGCACGGGTAGGGTCCCTAGGCCAGTGATCAGGGCCAATCAGTGCCTTATTTCCTTCCCCACCGCTCCCTGGTGGTCAGCGCACACCATAGCGAGTGATCAGTCTCCTGGTTGAACTCCCATGGGGACAATTTGCATATTAGGCTTTTATATATAGAGATAGATTCCTAATACACTAAAGAAAGAAAAATCACAACAGCCCTTTAGAGATGCATTCATTTTAGATATCTGGAGTTTATGTAATATCTTTATTTAATCATCACTAATCACTTTATCAGATCACTATACTGCTACTCAATTTTCACAATAATGACTAACTCATGGTAAAGGCTAGCTTACATAAAAAATATGCATGAAATACTTGTTTTCAATTCTACCAATGCTAATAAAATATATGAGGAAAGCATTTTTTAAAATGTATCATAGGTCTACACCAAAATACAGCAGTTTAAAATTTTACTAAAATAGAAAAACAGAGGTGTTTGTCAAAAAGTGTACCCCCTGAGATATGAGGGTCATCTCATTATTCACCAGAAATTTGCTACATCAAATAATAATTGCTCAAAATTTAAAGCCCTAAAAATTCCTAGATGAATTACCTTAATAAAAATTTTTCTCAATTCAAAAACTGAATATTCTCTTTCAATAAATTAGTTCAATTAAATTGATAACAGCCCAGAAGGAATTCATCATCATTCAGAAAACAAAATAAAGATGACCTTTCTTACAAATATATAAATACAAATATGTCTCAATAGTTAGGATAATTCTTCTCAATTTCTGCACATAACAACTCTTCCCTCAATCTCTCCTTGACAGTCTGGTTTATCTCAGAATTTCAGAAGGTACTATAAAATTTGACAGTGCTTTTTGAAAAGCACCTGTGTTCCAATTACAATTTCAAAAGACTCTAAGAAACATTAGGCTTAGGTACATAAAATGCATTCTTGTATGTCAAGAAGACTTCATTTTTCTTTTGGTAACAGATCAAATGGGTATAAATCTTTTATACTGACTACGCTGTTTTTAATTTACTCATCCTAATGGCACATTGCATTTAGATCACGTAAAAATCAAAATTAGATTAGAAAATCTCCTGTCTTCCGTCAGGAATAGGTAAGGTTCTCTAATGATTCTTAATGCACTTTCTTCTTAAACTGTTATTTTAGAAAAGTATCTTAAACACATTGTGCATTAGAATTTTATCATTGCAAACCAACATTAGAAAAGACTTCCATTGACTGGAAAACAAAAAAAGACATTCTTATAAGTGGAAAATCAATCACCACAACCACTAAATGTCACAGCTCAACATCAGCAAGAAGCACTAATAATTGTTAGTTATACACGGCACAAATGATGTATGTCCTCGATTGAGGAAGTGGGTGCCAGGTTTTTAGGAAACTGTACATATATTGATTTTATATTTATTTAATGTGGCCACTGTAAGACACTTTATTCTTCTGATAAGCTATGACTGCTTATCAAAAGATTCTATAATTCAAGGGAAACATTCATAACTTGTGTGAAATGAAAACCACCGGCCCACAGAAATCATGACCACAAAATCCAATTTTGTGGATTTATGGCAGAAAGGCATTAAACTACTGTCTTGCAGGAACTGCAGACTAGTCACTGAAGTCTAAGTGGCATAGCAGTAATGATTAAGGTGACACGTTCCCCTGCCACAGCTGTTAATCAGCTTAATACTAGTTACATTATTGACATTCTTGTAATTACTTTTCCTAAGGCACATTTGTGAAAAATATGTTTTACTTTAATTATGAGCAATGGGAAGCAAGCCCATGTCCAAAAAGAATAAGCATGTTTCTCTTTACTGCACATATACAGTAAGGGGAGTGCTTTTCCAAGCACTTGGAGACTCCAGTGCCAGAGCACGGTTTCCAGGTGACCACATCAGCACGTACCTTGCCATCCTCGGAACACACGCCCAGGTGTTCTCCACTTTCATCCAGGCTAATCTGATTTATCTTCACAGGACTCTATTTAAGAAACAAAACGTAAATCTTTAGGAAAGTATCCAATATAATAAAAGACTAATATGCAAATCGACCAAACGGCAGAATAACTAGTCGCTATGACACGTACTGACCACCAGGGGGGCAGACGCTCAATGCAGGAGCTGCCCCCTGGTGGTCAGTGTGCTCCCACAGGGGAAGCACAGCTAAGCAGGAAGTGGGGCTCACGGCTGGCGAGCGCAGCAGCAGTGGCAGGAGCCTCTCCCACCTCTGCGGCAGTGCTAAGGATGTCCGACTGCTGGAAGCGGGTCTAAGCCGTCAGTCAGACATCCCCCGAGGACTCCTGGATTGTGAGAGGGCGCAGGCCAGGCTTAGGGACCCCCCCCCCACAAATGCTCGAATTTTGTGCACCTGGCCTCTAGTATATTAATAATCAAATGCCTTGGATCTTTGTAAAATTAAATAATACAAATTGTCTGTTAGTTTAGATGCATGAACCAAAAACATATTTTAATTTTGCCAATGAAAAGGGCAAAATACAGCTTTGTTTCCAGACATGTAAAATGCCCAGAAACCTAAGATTTCCCCAAACTGTCTATTTCACACACTTTAAGTTCCTAAAATGTTATTTTTATTACATGCTATATGCCTTTTTATTTGTTCTGTTCTGTTTATTCCACACTCCCAAAATGCTTTCCCAACCAAATCCATTAAAAGGACAAAAGAAAAAACAAAATAAAAATCATAATGTAAAAAAAAATATTAGTTGTTTTACTTTGGTTCACTAATCAATCTATTCTTCTCTTATAAATTACTAAATCAATTTTTATTTATACTTTATGCTTAGTACTTCCTGGGGGAAATTCACAGGGTCTAGTTGATATTAACAAACTTTGTTATCTCCCATTCTTTTGAGTAATCTCAAATTTAAAAATCTGTGAAGATATGAATCAGGCTTTCTACATTAGATGTATTTTCCCAGGTATAAATACACAACTGTACTTTTAATATTTTTCATAGCCTTCCAGTTCTCTATGTAGACAATTGTTTAATTACTAAAACATTCATGCAGGTGGATATTCTAATAGAAGTAAAAATCAGCAAATGTTGACAACATTAAAATATGACAAGCTCTTCTTTTTTTTCTTCTTAAATAATGGCAATTCCCAACTATCTACACAAAGCATGACAGGAACAAACTTACCCTGAAAAGTAAGTCATCAATGATTATAACATGAGCTTGCAAATTAGTGTTCTTTTTAGTATCTACATCCCAGATACTTTTAAATATCTATTTCCTAATAGTTTGACTTCTTAATAATAAATGGAAATACACAAAACTGAAACTGGATCCTTCTCCAATGGAAAATATTTCAGAGCTAGTAAGTGAAGGTGAGGGCAAAAACCAAGATTCTCAGCCCTCAAAAGTCCATTTATTGACTGGCTGATGTGAGAGAGATTCCTGTGGTACAGGCTAAAACAACTGGCCACAGAATCTTTTCTCATCTTGATCCCTATATCACCACACAAGCTCTCTTCTTAAGTTCCCAGAATGTTAGAAGAGGAAAGGACCTTGAAGAGAGATATTTAATACATTTTACAGGAGAATAAACTGAAAGCCATGGATAAGAATCACAACAGAAAAGTGTCAGAGCCAGGGCTCCGGCCTTCAGAGCCATGAAGAGGTGTCCTGCAAAGGGAACGCTGTGATGGGCACAGCAAAACAAAAGCTGAACAGGGAAAGCACTGAGGCCAGCATGTCCGCACTTCTGGCTGAGAAGTCCCACTACTCAGCTTCTGCACTCTGGTTAATGCTTTCCACAATAAAAACCTTCTGTTAACAGTTTTCTTATTCTGATCTTTCTTTAGCAAATGACATTTTAATACCCATTTTGGCTATAACCTACATCAAACTATAATTTAATATGTATGTGGAGCCTGATCTATGTACCTGTCCTATCCAATACAGTACTATCCACATGACTATTTATATAGGAAGTTAAATTAATTAAAATTAAACATAATTAAGAATTTAGTTCCTCATTTGCACTAATACATGCCAAGTGCTCAACAGCCACTGGACTAGAGCTATCATGTAGCAAGCGCACATCACGGAAGGTATGCATTACTGCAGAGTGTCCTATTAGGCAGCACAGTTCCAGGCCTACGAAACTCAGCCCCAATGCTGAACACAATCCTTTTTCTTCTTTTTTTAAAAAAATATGTCTTTACTGATTTCAGAGAGGAAGGGAGAGGGAGAAAATCACTGATCGGCTGCCTCTGCTGGGGATCAAGACCTTGCCATCCTCGGAACACACGCCCAGGTGTTCTCCACTTTCATCCAGGCTAATCTGATTTATCTTCACAGGACTCTATTTAAGAAACAAAACGTAAATCTTTAGGAAAGTATCCAATATAATAAAAGACTAATATGCAAATCGACCAAACGGCAGAATAACTAGTCGCTATGACACGTACTGACCACCAGGGGGGCAGACGCTCAATGCAGGAGCTGCCCCCTGGTGGTCAGTGCGCTCCCACAGGGGAAGCACAGCTCAGCAGGAAGTGGGGCTCACGGCTGGCGAGCGCAGCAGCAGTGGCAGGAGCCTCTCCCACCTCTGCGGCAGTGCTAAGGATGTCCGACTGCTGGGAGCGGGTCTAAGCCGTCAGTCAGACATCCCCCGAGGACTCCTGGATTGTGAGAGGGCGCAGGCCAGGCTTAGGAACCCCCCCCCTCAAATGCTCGAATTTTGTGCACCTGGCCTCTAGTATATTAATAATCAAATGCCTTGGATCTTTGTAAAATTAAATAATACAAATTGTCTGTTAGTTTAGATGCATGAACCAAAAACATATTTTAATTTTGCCAATGAAAAGGGCAAAATACAGCTTTGTTTCCAGACATGTAAAATGCCCAGAAACCTAAGATTTCCCCAAACTGTCTATTTCACACACTTTAAGTCCCTAAAATGTTATTTTTATTACATGCTATATGCCTTTTTATTTGTTCTGTTCTGTTTATTCCACACTCCCAAAATGCTTTCCCAACCAAATCCATTAAAAGGACAAAAGAAAAAACAAAATAAAAATCATAATGTAAAAAAAAATATTAGTTGTTTTACTTTGGTTCACTAATCAATCTATTCTTCTCTTATAAATTACTAAATCAATTTTTATTTATACTTTATGCTTAGTACTTCCTGGGGGAAATTCACAGGGTCTAGTTGATATTAACAAACTTTGTTATCTCCCATTCTTTTGAGTAATCTCAAATTTAAAAATCTGTGAAGATATGAATCAGGCTTTCTACATTAGATGTATTTTCCCAGGTATAAATACACAACTGTACTTTTAATATTTTTCATAGCCTTCCAGTTCTCTATGTAGACAATTGTTTAATTACTAAAACATTCATGCAGGTGGATATTCTAATAGAAGTAAAAATCAGCAAATGTTGACAACATTAAAATATGACAAGCTCTTCTTTTTTTTCTTCTTAAATAATGGCAATTCCCAACTATCTACACAAAGCATGACAGGAACAAACTTACCCTGAAAAGTAAGTCATCAATGATTATAACATGAGCTTGCAAATTAGTGTTCTTTTTAGTATCTACATCCCAGATACTTTTAAATATCTATTTCCTAATAGTTTGACTTCTTAATAATAAATGGAAATACACAAAACTGAAACTGGATCCTTCTCCAATGGAAAATATTTCAGAGCTAGTAAGTGAAGGGGAGGGCAAAAACCAAGATTCTCAGCCCTCAAAAGTCCATTTATTGACTGGCTGATGTGAGAGAGATTCCTGTGGTACAGGCTAAAACAACTGGCCACAGAATCTTTTCTCATCTTGATCCCTATATCACCACACAAGCTCTCTTCTTAAGTTCCCAGAATGTTAGAAGAGGAAAGGACCTTGAAGAGAGATATTTAATACATTTTACAGGAGAATAAACTGAAAGCCATGGATAAGAATCACAACAGAAAAGTGTCAGAGCCAGGGCTCCGGCCTTCAGAGCCATGAAGAGGTGTCCTGCAAAGGGAACGCTGTGATGGGCACAGCAAAACAAAAGCTGAACAGGGAAAGCACTGAGGCCAGCATGTCCGCACTTCTGGCTGAGAAGTCCCACTACTCAGCTTCTGCACTCTGGTTAATGCTTTCCACAATAAAAACCTTCTGTTAACAGTTTTCTTATTCTGATCTTTCTTTAGCAAATGACATTTTAATACCCATTTTGGCTATAACCTACATCAAACTATAATTTAATATGTATGTGGAGCCTGATCTATGTACCTGTCCTATCCAATACAGTACTATCCACATGACTATTTATATAGGAAGTTAAATTAATTAAAATTAAACATAATTAAGAATTTAGTTCCTCAGCACCACTAATACATGCCAAGTGCTCAACAGCCACTGGACTAGAGCTATCATGTAGCAAGCACACATCACGGAAGGTATGCATTACAGAGTGTCCAAGGGAGAGGGAGAAAATCACTGATCGGCTGCCTCTGCACGCCCTCTACTGGGGATCAAGCCAGCAACCCAGGCATGTGCCCTTGACTGGAATTGAACCCAGGACCCTTCAGTCTGCAGGCCGACGCTCCATCCACTGAGCCAAACCAACTAGGGTTGCATGCAATCCTTCTTTACAAGGCCCTTCTTCACTACCACTGACATTCAGAAGTACATTTTCTTCTCACATACACAAAATTTACATAATTTGTTCTTAAACTGGTACTTTTGAAAAGCTCATGGTCTGAGCTAATATTCTCTGAATCACAACTTATCATTGCCAAAGACCTGGCAGACACAGTAGCTGATCCTCACAACCTCAGGGGAAAGCAGTCAGCACTGACAGATGGTTATCTCTGCCTCACAACCAGGAAAATGAGGCCTCAAGAGTTATGTGCCCTGTCTGGAACCTAGTGATGTTACTCAGTGTCTAAGCCACCCAGTGGTACTAGCATTCTACACACAAAGAAGGCAAACTTCATCACAACCTCTTTCTTTCTGAGTGGAATCCGTTTGTACCACCATATAAGCAATATTAGGGAGGGAAATCATACCTTCAAAGTGTTAGAATCCTCTTTCCCTTACATCCCTATTAGCGACTGAAGTTTTTCTTTTCTTTTTTTTCTACCAAAGATCAATATTCATTGATTTATTTTTCTGACTACTAAGAAACTTAAACACTTTTCGTAAGTCTTTTGGCCAATTAATTTGCTCTTCTGTAAACTCTTTGTTCACATTTCTTACCTATTTTTATTTTTTTTAATCCTCACCAGAGGATATTTTTCCATTGATTTTTATTTTAATTTTTTTTTAAAATATATTTTATTGATTACAGAGAATATTTTATTGATTTTTACAGAGAAGAAGGGAGAGGGATAGTTAGAAACACTGATGAGAGAGAAACATCGATCAGCTGCCTCCTGCACACCCCCTACTGGGGATGTGACTGAACCAAGGTACATGCCCTTGACGGGAATCGAACCTGGGACCCTTCAGTCCACAGGCTGACGCTCTATCCACTGAGCCAAATGGTTAGGGCTCCATTGATTTTTAGAGAGAGTGGAAGAGAGAGGGAAAGACAGAGGGAAATATCATGTGAGAGAAACACATCGATTGGTTGCCTCCTCCGTGCACCCTTACCAGGGCTGGGGTCAGGGAGGAGCCTGCAACCGCAGTACAAGCCCCTGACCGGAAATGAACCCGGGACCCTTCGGTCCACAGGCTGACGCTCTATCCACTGAACCAAACCGGCTAGGGCTTTTACCCATTTTTCTATTACATGTCTGTTGTTTTCTTGTCAATTTCCTTTTTTGTTTTTAGGGTATGAGGTCTTGGCACAGTTTTGCACCCAGACATTGTATACCTGGTCTATTATATATTTTTTTTTGCAAAATGGTTATTGCTTTATTTCTAACATTTAAGTCTTTAATATTTACAGATTCATTTTATTTTCTTCCAAATGAATATCTAGTTGGGCTAGCCCCATTTATTAATTCATCCTTCTCATTCTACAGAAAACTATGTTTATTATATAATAAATGTTTATATTCACTTAAATAACCTTCTGGGTTTTCAACTGTGATCTCTTTGTCCACTGCTATATCAATTCAACATTGATCTAATTATATAGGATAAATATAGTATGTTCTGATATTTGGTAGCGGCAAGATCCAGTCATAACTCCACACTTTACTTGGCTTTTTTCAAGAAATTTTATTCTTCCAAATAAATTGCAAATTGAAATATCCCCCATATTACTAAACATAATGGTCATTATTCAATCCTAACTTACGTTTCCTAATAGAAGCATGTAACACTTCTGACAACTCTCTCCTCTTTGCTTCCAGATAACTATACTTATTTTTCTTTTACTTTTCTAGTTGGTCCTTCTCAGTCTCTTTGGGTGGATATTCCTGATCCCTCTTTTTTTCCTTCCTCTCTTAAAAAAAATTTTCCCTTGGCCCCATGGGGGACCTCCCCTGCCACCAGGGCCCTGCCCCCCATTTCTGATCTATTGATCTTTGTATTTCATGGTTTGGTCCTTCCACCTTTTCTCTTTTGCATCAACACTGGTTCCCTTGGTATTTTCTTTCAGGTCATGAAATGACTCCTAAATTTCTATCTCCAGAATGGACCGCTCCCTATTTCAGACCAACATACAGAACTGTCTACTTTATATATGTACTTGGATGCCTAATAGGCATCTCAATCAAAACATATCCAAAACCAACATCCTGATATTCCATCATAAAAGAGCCTGTCTTTATGGTATCCCTATCTCAGTTAAAGACTAATACATTCTTCTAGTTGCTCAGAGCCAGTAAACTATTATTTATACTTATGTGTTTTACTTTATCCTATTTACTGTCAAACTCACTAACTAGAATATTAACTTCAAAAGAGATAGTTAAAAGAATAAAAAATCCAATCATACACAATTCTTCCAGAGAACAGATTAAAAGGAAATGCTCCCCAACTCATGTTACCAGGCCAGTGTAACCTGACCATAACAAAACTCAACAAAGTTATTAAGAGAAAGAAAAAGTACAAGTAAATCTCTCATGAACAGGAATAGAAAAAGCTTAAAGAAAATACTAATGAAGTCAGCATATATAGAAAAGCCATGTTTATTCCAGAAATACAAGGCTTATGTAACATAGGGAAATTAATCAATATATTATAATTTTCTGCATTAATAAAAGAAATGAGGAATACTGAAAGATCATCTCAAAAGATGGAAAAAGTGTTGATGAAATTTGAGAACTCATGAACCTGCACACAGGTGTGGTGATTATGGTGGGGGAGAGTAGAAGAGGGAATAAAGGGGATAAATGCTGATGGAAAAAGAA